GACTTTGGCGTCGGCCTCCAGGCTCCAGCCCCACCTTGTCCTGCCCTACCGCCTGTCTTGCTCACTCAGCTGTGGCCAGCCTGGGTGGACTCACTAGCCTCAGGGCTTCCTAGTGCATGCCGTGCTCCACGCCCCATCCCACCCCTCTGCCTGCTTATTCCTGCCTCTCATTTGATTCTTAGCAGAAATGTCACTCCATTGCTAACGTGGACCTGACCCCACCCTGCCCCACCCCATGAGCTCACCGCAGTCCAGCACTTGCCTGGACTGGGCGAGTAGGTGAGTCTTGTAATGACACGTGTGACGCCTGGTAGTGCCTGGCGAGCACTGTGAGGGCAAGGAGCCCTCTCTCTGTACCCTTGGTGCTTAGTGCTGGGCCTGGCATTTAGCAGGCCCTTGGTAAGTGCTTACTGAGTGAGCGGAACTGGATAACTGGATAACTGGGGGACAGGTTGAGATTGGGGCAAGGAAAGACCTGACTCAGCCTCATCACTCTCTGACCCCAAACCAAGAACACCCCATGAGAAGCCGATGCCTTGAAGGCCTCCTAATGGCTCATTTTCTCTGGGACTCTGTCCCGTTGGCTTCCCCAGGTAATCCGATCTTTGAAACCATCTTTATATAATTTGTAAGGTCAGTGTGTAAGTCCCCCAGGCTCACTATGGGATGTTTCTGTTATTGTACAAAAGGAGAAGTACCAAAGGGTATTCACCCATGCAGCTGTCTGCTCCTAAAATCTGCACCAGTCACTTCCCAGAGGTAGAAGGGCAATGATTCTCTCCAGCAGATAGGACAACTGGTGGAAGCACAAAGCCCACTAGTGAGTCACCAAAGTGGCTTTAATTCGAGGTTTCTTTTTTTTGAGACAGAATCTCACTGTGTTGCCCAGGCTAGAGTGCCGTGGTGTCATCCTAGCTCACAGCAACCTCAAACCCCCGGGCTCAAGCAATCCTTCTGCCTCAGCCTCCCAAGTAGCTGGGACTACAGGCATGCGCCACCATGCCTGGCTAATTTTTTCTATATATTTTAGTTGTC